ATCCCATGACCCTGGGATCATGACCTGAGCTGAATTCAAGTTGGATGCTCAACCAACTAAGCCACCCAGGTGCCCCCCCAAAAAACACAAAAAAAAAGCAAAACAGACTCTCAAATGCAGAGAACGAACTAGTAGTTGCCAGAGAGGAGGCGACTGGGGTGATAGGTCAAATAGATTAAGGGGATTTAGAGGTACAGGTTTCCAGTCATAAAATAAGTCACAGAGATGAAAAGTATGGCATAGGGAATTTAGTCAATAACATTGTAATATTGACAGATGGTAACTATACTTACCATGGTGAGCACTAAGTTAATATAACATTGTATGTTAATTATATTCAATAATTTTTTTAAAAAGCGTTGTTGGAATAAGATAATGAAGAGTCTTTTTTTTTTAATGTTTTTTTATTTATTATTGAGACAGAAACAGAGCATGAGCGGGGGAGGGTCAGAGAGAGATGGAGACACAGAATCCGAAGCAGGCTCCAGGCTCTGAGCTGTCAGTGTTATGAAGAGTCTTATACTCACCTAAGTTTTAAAACTCTGATAAAGTTATGCCTAATAAAGTAAAATGATGTTGGCTATCCTTTGAAAATTGTAATTAGGCTTGACGTTTCAGGGCTATGGCCACCCCAAAAGTAATTGCCTTTAGGAGCGCCTGAGTAGCTCAGTCAGTTAAGCGTCCAACTTTGGCTCAGGTCACGATCTTACGGTTCATGGGTTTGAGCCCCGCATCAGACTCTGGGCTGACAGCTCAGAGCCTGGAGCCTGCTTCAGATTCTGTGTCTCCCTCCCTCTCTGCCCTTCCCCTGCTCATACTCTGTCTCAAAAAGAAATAAACATTAAAAAAAAAAGTAATTGCCTTTAAAAATTATTATGCAACTGTTCACAAATAATAGTACGACTAATACCCTTTAATAACTTATGCTCTTATCCAAACTCTTGGCATGACCTGTAACCTAATTTAGTATATTTGTTACCTATTACAGTTGAATTTATAAAGATACATGTGCATAATTATCAACACTAGAAGATTATATTTTTTTCCATTAAGAAATCTTTTTATCTAGGAGCGCCTAGGTGGCTCGGTTGAGTTGACCTCAACTTGGGCTCAGGTCATGATCTTGCTGTCCAGGTTTGACATACACAGAAGTATGTTATACACATATTGTCAGTATACAGCTCAATGATTTTCACAAACTTTGCAGTCATGTTACCATGAGGCCACATCTTAATTGTCCAACATTACTAATTCAAGAGTCTTAAGCTACTTCTCAAACTTAATTATTTTTCATCTCTGAACTTTCAGTCACTTCTTTGGCTTAAAACTCTTACTGCTAACAGTTTTGTTTGCATAAGGAACCGAGTGGTTCTAACACAGCCTACCCGCCTTTGTCTCCTAGGCCCGTTTGGCGTTCAGCTCTCTTTAGTTGACCATTGCAGTCCAGGCTTCTGATTTCTAGAAAATGCCCCTTATTCCAAAGTCATCCATTTCTCCCCCGAGTCTCTCTAGTTCCAGTAGTTCTTTCAAACTAAAAGTAGCAACTCAGTGGGTCTTCAAATAAATTTAGTGAGTTGGATTTGTAAACAGTGTTTAAAAAGAGCCTGGGGATGCCTGGACAGCTCAGTGGGTTAAACGTCTGATTTCTCCTCAGGTCATGATCTTACGGTTCCTGAGTTCAAACCCCACATCAGGCTCACTGCTTTCAGCACAGAGCCCACTTTGGATCCTCTGTCCCCATCTTTTTCTGCCCCTCCCCTGCTCGTTCTCTCTCTCTCTCAAAATAAATAAATAAATTTAAAAAATAAAATAAAAAGAGCCTGATGGAGGGACAAAGAAAGGGAAAGACAAAAAATGGAAGAGTGTGTTGTAACTAATATAAGCTTCACTATTTTGTGAAACTTTGTAGTTAGTTTTTCATATAAATAAAATTTATTTTTTACTATGGGTCATGGTCTGAAAAGTTTAAAAACCTTCATAAATCTCATTTTAGTAATTTAAAAATACTACTGAACATTAACATCAGAATAACAGTTGATAGTCATAGACCTTGTTTAAATCAATAAAATGGAAATGTATTGGCTGATGAGAACTTTTCTATGTCTTGGAAGAACACTCCATCTCATTTTAAGATGCCAGTGTGACCCAGAGATGTTACAGGAAAACAGTCACAGGCAGATAGCCCTCGTGAATGTACACGCAATAGTCTTTTACCAAATAGCAGTAAACTGAATGCAGCCATACAGAAAAAGGATAACACATCTTAACCACATGGAGTTTATCCCAAGAATGCAAAGCAGGGGTTAGAGTAATATCCAGAAACCAGTTTAAATGATTATATCAATGAAATAAAGTAGAAAACCCATCTGATCACCCTTAACAGAAAAGCATTTGACAAAATTAAACTCTCCTTCATGAAAAAAAAAAATCACAGCAAACTAGGAAGAGTTTCCTTACTGAGAAAGGGCATATTTGAAAACCCTATGGATAAGACACCTAAAGTTTAGAACAAAGCCAGGCCATCTCCTCCCAACCACTATTAAACATTGTATTTGGGATCCTAGCTGGATCCTAGTCCACAGTAAGGCCAGGGAAAGAAAGAAAAGGCATAAAGATTGGAAAGAAGCAAAACTCTTTGAAGATGACATGATCGTATATGTAAAAATGGTTGAAGTTTTAAAGCTTCACAATATCAAATGCTGACAATGGCACTGAACACCTAGAACTCCCGCACTGCTGTTGGGCATGGAAGATGGTACAACCACTGTGGAAAACACAGCTTTTTATAATTTAACCTACACACAACCCATCAATTCCAAGCCTATGTATGTACCCAAGGGAAAAGAAAACGAGTATCCACAGAAAGACTTGTACCTGAAGGCTTATAGCAGCTTCATTTATAGTAGACCAAAACTGGAAATAACCCAAGTCTCCATCAGTAGGGGAATAGGTAAACAAAAGCATGTGATACATGCAAAGCATAGATAAATCTCAAAACATCATGCTAAGCAAAAGAATCCTTATACAGAAGAGTACAATACTGTAGGATTCTATTTATATGAAATCCTAGAATAGGTAGAAGAAGAAAAAGAAAACCTCTGGGGACAAAAAACATATCAGTGCTTGACCTGGGACCAGGAGTGATATATTGACTTCAGAGGAGCATAAGAGAACTTTTCTGGGGTTTAAAAATATTCTATATCTTGTCCTTGGTGGTAGTTACTAGAGTTTTTGTATTTGTGAAAACTCATGTGTCTTATGGTATGTAAATTATACCTCAGTAAAGTTGGGTTTTTAAAGAAAGATTTAGACATTTAATTTAAAAACAAGTAGACAAAACCAGTGTTAGAAAAAAATCTCCAGCTTAAAAAATTCCTTTGGGATGATGAAAAGTTCTGGAGATGATAGTAAAGGTGGCAGACTATACCATCTGTGAATGTACTTAATGCTGCAGAACTCTACACTTAAAAATGGTTAAGGGGCGCCTGGGGTGCTCAGGAGGTTAAGCCCGACTGGATTTTGGCTCAGGTCATGGAACTCATGGTTCATGGGATCAAGACCTGGCGTTGGGCTCTGCACTGACAGTGAGGAGCCGGCTCGGAATTCCCTCCCTCCCTCCCTCTCTCTCTGCCCCTCTCTCACACTCACTCACTCTCAAAATAAATGAATAAACTTTAAAAAATGGTAAAAATGGTAAGTAAATTTTATATTACATGTATTTTATCACATTTAAAAATGTTAAAAAAAAAGAAAACAGCTATGAAAACAAAAATCTTAAGGAATTAGGATATGAAAACAAAAATCTTAAGGAATTAGGATATAAAAGTTTTGTTTTGTTTTTAAGCTTAAGATGGCATGTGCTTTGTGCCCCTCAAAAATATCTTGTAAAGAATTAAGGCAAGGTCGCATGGGTGGTGTCCGACTTTGACTCAGGTCATGATCTCATGGTTCGTGATTTCGAGCCCCACATCGGGCTCTGTACTGACAATGCCAAGCCTACTTGGGATTCTCTCCCTCTCTCCATCTCTCTGACTTTCCCCCACTCACACTCGCTCACTCTCTCTCGCTCTTTCTCAAATAAATTTAATGAAAAAAAATGAAGGCAGAGTCTAAAATGTTACAAGGGTTTAAAAATTACAATTTCTTTGATCAAAGGAAAAAATGCTTAATTTAAGTATAAATGAGGAATGTCTAAATTGTTAACATGAAACACAGCAAAGATCAGGATTCTAGCCTTGAAGCATTTATGCTTTGAGTGTCATATGTGAATATAAACTAGACAGTATTACCTGGCCAAGGAAGGGAAGGGTCAGAGAGAGGGAGACACAGAATCTGAAACAGGCTCCAGGCTCTGAGCTAGCTGTCAGCACAGAGCCCCATGCGGGGCTCGAACCCACCAACCATGAGATCATGACCTGAGCCGAAGTCAGATGCTTAACCAACTGAGCCACCCAGGCACTCCTATTTGGTATTTTATAAAATATTTTTATATTTATATTTTATAAATATATTTTTATAAAACTTATAAAAGCTTTATACTCAGTTTACTCTTTATTTGCAATTCCTACATCAACCTAGGTATAAAACCAGATGAATTATATTTATTTTATAAATATATTTTATATTTATATTTATATATTTATTTTATATTTATTTTCATTATCACGGCTCTTCATTCACCTGTTTTCATCAAAATAAAACGCATCGTAGTTTCTGATGATATTGGCAGGAATTTCTCAGCCAGGAAAGAGGATGCTATCATTTGGAAATAGGACTGCTGTCTTGCTTGGGAATTTGCTTCCACTTCCTAGGTTTTGAGAATAATGGGCAGTTAAAAGATCTACATGCCAAAAAGAGTTTATGATTGGCCACATTTTTATGGGAAGTAGATGTCTTTGTAGCATAGTGAGTAGAGCTGGAAATGCAGAGGAATGGAAGCTTCTCTGTGAACATGTTTCAAGGGGGACAACATTTTCTCTTTATGGTTCATTCTGTTCTAGGTAAGCACCACCAGGCGAGTGAGACCCAGAATGTTATTGCATCAGACAAAGCCGAAATACCAGTTGTCCATGAACATGAGCACAGCCATGACCATACACAGCTACACGCCTACATTGGCGTTTCCCTCGTTCTGGGCTTCGTTTTCATGTTGCTTGTGGACCAGATTGGCAGCTCCCATGTGCATTCTACTGATGGTAAGTGGCTCCAGAGCTTTCTGGTCAGTGCAAGAAATGTGCAGTTTAGAAAGTCACAGATGATTAAACAATTCTGTATGTATCAGTGAACTTAGTGCTAAAAACTCTGGTCTTTCTTGGGTTCTGGTGAACATTTTATTCATTTGGGGGCACTAGTGAGTTGTGACCTATGGTACAAGGGGGTGCTTGGTGGGTTATTCATCTTAAAGCTGCCTCAATGAGAATCTAGCACAGAAGTTCTAAATGTTTTTGTGCCATGGAGCCCTTAGGCATTCTGAAGCCTGTGGACCTCTTAAATGCTTTTAAATGTGTAAAGCATAATGCATAGAATTGCAGAGGAAGCCCAATTATATTGAAATACAGTTCCAAGACATTAAAAAACTTATGATACAGTAATGTATGTCTTCTTTATTGATGCATTAATTAACAAGAGATAATATATTTAAATCATATGCAAGGTGGAGTTAAATTTTATTTTTTACGACATTAGCATGACAGCTTTTGTTGCTTAGCTCAGCTAAAAATCTTAAATTGTGAGACGGGCTTTAACAAGGCAACAGAGTGTCATGTTGAGCATTCAGTTGTTTTGGTTGTTTGTTTTAATGGTTACTAGTATAGAGAATCCTGATTCACAAAGATATTTTCTTACAGATATACTTAAACACAATCTTAGCTTGCTTTCCAAACAAAGCTAAACTTCTCTCAACTACAGTTCTCTAAGACTTAAATTTAATTCCGGATATAGTAACTTTTTAAAGACATTTTTAAAATATTTTTAATCTATTTTTTTAAATATTTTTTAATCTATTTTTTAAAGTAAACTCTACCCCCAGCATGGAGCTCGAACTCACAACCCCAAGATCAAGAATCACATGTTCCACCAACAACCCAGCCAAGTAACTTTTTTGTCTTAAGATCAATGAATTCGTCTTTGGCTGGGTCAGCATCTTTGATATGGTTTGTATTAAATTTAATAAAAAAGGTTCTGATCCATAATAGAAATACATTTGGAAGAGCTGCATCAAACTCTTGGGGTTTGGTGATCTAGGGATTTATAGATATCTCTTTTCAGAGACACTGACAGAGAACTTTGCAGGTAGGAACTGCTGGAGGGCAGTCCCCAAGGGGGACCCATGACTTGGGGGCCCGCGACTTTTGCTGTCTAGTTGCCTGGATGCCCGTAGGCCAAGAGTTACTGAGAGTTTCCCTGCTCTGTCCCATGAGCATCTGCAGACAAGAAGGCTATATCATGCAGGGTGGTGGCATTATAAGCCCTTAATTTAAAGTAGTGATGAGAGAAAGCAAAAATATGAAGATATTTACAACTGTAAAAGAATATGAAATGATCTGATTACTATTGGCAATAAAGTAGAGGTAGTGCTAATATTTAGAGTGTATTGTCTATATTCACAATTAAAGGAAATAATAGATTTCAGTTAGAGGTTAGTAAAAATTAAAATGCAGGGTCTTTTCCAAGTTAAAGTCACAAGCAGCCCCTGCATTCTACCTGTGTTCTTCTGCATGGGCCCCCCAGGTTAAGAATCCTCGGCCTACAAAAAAATCAGTGGAAAAGCAGGCAAAAGACATGAATAGATAGTTCATAAAACATTATTAAAATGGTCCTTAAATATATGAAAAGATGTTCCATTTCACTTAATGCAAATCAAAACTCTGCCAACATGTTATTTCTTAACTGTCGGGCAAAAATTCTAAAGCTTGACTATACACTCTGTTATCAGAGCTACGGTGGAACACGCCCTCCTCTATTGCTGTGGGAATGCAAAACTGTACAGCCCCGCAGAGGAGAGCTTGGCAATATCTAACAAAACTGCATTTGTATTTACCCTTCAACCCCAAAATCCTATTTCTAGGAATTGATCCTGATAATATAGCTCCGAGATGAAAATACACATGCATGAGATTATTTAATGCAACCTGATTTACCACTGTAATACCACTTACATGTCCAGTCATGGAAATTGGTCGAATGAAGTATGATGAGTGCACATAATGGAGTTCTAGGTAGCTATGGAAAAAGAGTGAGGAATCAGATCTCTGTGAATTGATGGGGAGAGATTTCTAGGAGATCTTGTTAAGTGGGGGGAAAAAAGCTGAAATGTAAATTAGTTTCGTGCGCTACATTTTGTGTAAGAAAGAAGAGGGGATAAAACCAGATCAGTTAGACAACAGAGGTAGTTACCTGTAAGAAGTGGGGGCAGGCAGGGTAGAGGAGTTTCAGGGGGCATGACATTCCCTGGGCATGCCTGTTTAGTATAGTTTTGACTTTTGGACACATGTTGATATTCCTTGTATTCAAAAGATAAAATGAAATCAACAGGGATGGGGAAACCAACTGAACCAGATGAACGATAATTCAAATGAATAACAATCACAGTGAGTGAGTTTTAAAAAAACTAATTTAAGTGACTTATGAATGTCGTATTTGACTATATATTTTTAGTTTTGGATGGAATGGGGAGGAGAAGCATAAACAATTACCGAATTCCTTATCAGGCTTTGCTTTTTGTAATGGCTTAGGTGAAAACAATTCTGAAACTGTTTTAGGTGTATTATAGGATTGAGCAGATGAGAAAGTATGTTGGTGTTGGTGGAACCAGAGTTCTCCCTGTGGAAGAGGGGACATACAGATAGGAAATGGGAAGGCCAGAAAGAACCTCAATAGGGCTGGACTGGAATTGGAGCTATTGGACTCATGATTTCTAAAATGTATATGTGTATATGTGTGTATATGTGTACATATATACGTGTGTGTTTATGTGTACATGTATGTATGTCCTAGCTCTGTCTGCAGAGAGGGCCTAGAAGTAAAGACATCTCACTAGCAATGAGCATACCAGGGCTCTTCAGAGAAATGGCTGATTCCAGGACAGGGACAGGGTAAGTACAAAATGAGCTTGGAACATCTAGTGCTCAAAAAAAAAAAAAAAGTAGGAAGGAAGAAAATGGAAATTTGTCACAGAATATAGAGCCAGCTTGAAGGGGCTCCCACCGGCCAGATCTAGGACAATAGGAGCTCCAAAATAATTAAGAATAGTAACAAAGCATAAACTATTGAAAACATGAGGCTCAATGAGCACATCCACGTGAGAGAGAGAGAAGAGAGGAGACTTGCTTACAATAGATTGCTAAAGGCCAACTTGTAAATGCGGAAAGCGTGCTGGCATTAAAAAATCATTTTTGCAATCCTCATAGTAAAAAATGGCTCAGGCCAGAATCACCAACGAATGTTACATCTAGGGGATAAATTTTGATTTGCTTATTCATTGCAAGGGAAAAAGAAGTAACTAAATGAAGAAATCTGATAATACTTTGACCAGATGATCAAAATTAATGTCACTGCTATCTGTTTTCAGTGTGGGCAAATAAGTTCCTATCAGACCAGCCTCCTTACAGATAATTATAAACTCTGGGCATGTTTTTTTAAAAGCTACTACACACTGGAGAGTGACCCAAAGCAGGAAAATTCTAGAGGGGATTCAACCTGTGGAACAGGGTGAGTTCCTATTTTTACTGCTTTTAAGCAGTCAGTGCCCAGTGAGGTAGCTAAAACTGATAGAAAATTCCGTGTCTCCGGCCTAAGGAACCAGAGGACAGAGTTCAGGGTAACTACAGCCACTAGAAGGTACAGCCCCACATTTTAAGTATAAAGTCTACCCGAGTCTGGCAATGCTGTGAACCATTCTTTTGTGAGCAGACTCAGCTAAAGGTGAGAGAACTCAACCGGAATTTGAGTAGCTGCCCAAAAGACAGACTTTGCAGTTTGAGCCAAACCAAGTTACTTAAAGCACAACACAAAATCAACACTCTTTGAAGGAATATAATAGAATCCAGAGTATCTACAAGATAACACTCACAGTAACATCCAGGATATAATCCAAAATTCACTCTCCTAGTAAGCAGCAGATGTACATTCTGTGCATCTAGATTTGAAGTCCTGAGAGGCAGCACCTGAAGAGTATTCCATCTGAGAATGTATAATCTAAGAACACATCAGTCAAACCCAAAAAGGAAGGATCAGTCTGTTAAAAACAAGAAAGGCTGAGAAAGGGACCTGTATTCTTTAAAGATACCAGTATCACAAAAGTCAAAGGCCAAGAAAATGTTCCAATTAAAGGGGACTACAGAGAAACAACTAAGTGCATATTTGATCCCAGACTGGATCCTTCCTGGGAGGGAAGAATGCTCTGAAAGACTTTCCTGGAGAGTTAACAAAATTAGAACAGCAAGAGAGATTAGAAAAAAGTGTCAATATTAAATTTACTAAAGTTGATAACTGTGCTGTGATTATAGAAGAAAATATCCTTTCTCTTAAGGAAATATAGTTTGAAATATCTAGGGGTAAAGAGTTATAATGTATGCAACTTACTTTGAAATGGTACAGACAAGAAAGTGTGTGTGTGTGTGTGTGTGTGTGTGTGTGTGTGTGTGTGTGTGTGTGTGGTGGATAGAAAAAGAGCATGAACACAAATAAGGAAGCAATTGGGGCAAAATGTTAGACAGCAGGTCGTTCTGAGAAAGGAGTATGTGAATGTTTGTTGAACATTCTCAAAACTTTCTGAAGATTTGAAATTATTTCCCAACAAAAGTTCTTTTCAGAATTCATGGAATTGAATTTTGCCTTTTTAGTCCAAGGGTATTTTTTGTTTCGTTTGTTAATCTTGGATTTACTGTTGCTTTTCAGTATTTTTCCATGCACTTTTTTTTTAATAGTCTTACATGTATTGGGAAGTTGATTTAGATGTAAATGGTTCTATTTGTGCATTTTTACCAAGTAGCAAATGAGAAGCACCCTCTGGTTGGATGGAATCTGATTTCCATCTGCATCACATAGTTGCCCACAGTGGCCTCCATGACATCTTTGCAATTCTTGTCAGTTTCCATTTTAAATGCATTTAAAGGCCCCCTAGTGCCCGATGATACTATACAAAGAATTAAAAATAGCATGTGTTCCTTTAGCCCTCCTCCTATTTTATCTTTTTGAGGTCACTGTTTTTGCTGGCTTTCCTGTATCTGGTAATCTGGTTTTACCAATTATCTGCAGGGGTTTATCTATTATTAAATCTCAGTAAAAATTTGTTTATTACATTTATGTTGAAGTAGTCTTTTCCTATAGATTTATAAAAACTGTGTTTTAATTGTAAAGCCTCTAATTTCTATTTAAGATGCTATTTATAACTAGAAAAGTCCAAACAAGCTTGTAACACAGTATAATATGATATTCTTCACAGTTTGGGGTGTTATTGAAATATTTGTTGTCTCAGACCAACCAGGGGCTTTAGCTCCCCTTCCTTGCAGTATTTTAATAAGAAGATAATTTTGTTTTTAGTAAAAAGATAACATGTTATTTTACTTGTATGTGTTTTCACCCCATTGTAAACCATTCTTCCTATGTGCTGCGTTCCCCCAGAAGATTAAATCCCTTGGAATTTATCTGGCCAATGTCCTTCTGTCATTTCATCTGGCATTTTGATGTCCTCATCTTTAACTTTACATTGTTTGGACATTATTGACTTGCTGGTATATTTCCTGTGATAGCAGGAACATTCATACAGAGAAATACTTTTCTCCCCTCTCTAATAAGGACGTATTAATTAGCTACTGGCTTTCCATTCCTGTGCGACATCCTGTAAGACATGTGAAAAGGAAATGGAAAGAAGTGGAAAATTCACTTCTGTGTAGTTTACAGTCAGTCCGGGGACCTGAGACCTATTTGCGTGAAAACAGGTTTGCATACCTCAGGTGGTGACATAGAAGAAACTGAAGTAGTATGTCCACTTAGGCCTCTTGGTTTCTAGGCATGGGGAGCCTTTTGAGCTGGAATTGATCTTTAATTCTTTCTTAAGGGAAATGGCTCTAGAATTAGACTTTGAACAAAGGCTGGGTTTTGGATTGAGGAGCTGAGAAGTTACACACATGCCAAGAACTAAAGACGAGAGATTTGAGGAAGGGAGAATGAGAATATTTTGTTAGAAGGTGTTAAAGAAGCTGGTTCATCTGGACTGAATAGTGAGAACTAAGATGATAACAGTTGATAAAGAGTGCAAGAACCTACTGAATAGAGCATTTTGGACTGAATTTGATAAGCAGCAGATCCTTAGTTAGTTAACTGGCACGTCAGAAGGATGGTGATTCAGAGATGAATCTGACAAGGATGTGTGAGGTAAATCAGAGTGGGGAGAAATGAGAGCTAGGGGAGACCAGCTGGGATCCTGTTGCTAATTCAAGTTCAAGTTGATGAAAATTTAGGTTAGAATGATGGCGACGATTAAATGGAAAAGGGCAAACATGATAGACCTTGTGGTCTTAGGATAAAGCTGAAGTTGCAGGAGGCTAGGGGTGAGGAGCAGGTAGGCAGTGACGATTCAGTTGGTCTGGAAAAAAGCCATGAGAGGCCACCGAGCACTTTCCAGGGAGAGCTGGAGGGCCAGGGGTGCAAGGCAGCTGAGGCAGTTAGGGCTTCCATAGTGTCTGTTCAGGGAAGCCTGGGGCCAATGAGAGGTTCCGTCCTGCCCACCTCTTCCAGGACAGGGGAAAGTGCCTGAAGCCCGTCGGGAGGAAAGACAGTTGGGAGGAGAATAGAATCTAAGAGCTTTCAAAGAATTCTTCCACCTCCAGGTCAGTGTTCTAACAGTTTCTGTTTCACATTGCTTAATGACTGACTCGCTTCTTTTTACTTCAGATCCAGAAACAGCGAGGCCCAGCAATTCCAAAATCACCACCACGCTGGGGCTGGTCGTCCATGCTGCAGGTAGGGTGGGATTGCAGCGAGAGCCCTTTCTCTCCTGGCGCGCCACGGGAGGCTTAGCGTGACCATCCCAGGGACCACCTCCAGGAAACGCACTTGGGCTGGCCTTCGGGGAGAGAGTTGCACAATGAAGTTCTCCAACCCAAGTACAAGGCCTGGTGTACTCATTGTCAGGGGTTTGCAGGCTAAGAATGGTGTTTCTATTTTTTAATGGTTGAAAATATTTTGTAGCACCTGGAAATGACATGAAATTTAAGGTTTAGTGCCTATAAATAGTTTTTTGGGGAACACAACTATGCCCACTTGGTTACCTCTTCCCGTGGCTGTCTTTGCACAGTAATGGCAGAGTGCTGTGGCTGCAGGAGAGCAAATGGCTTGCAAAACCTGAAATATTTCCTCTCTGGCCCTTCAAGAAAAAGTTTGCTGACCTCTGCCCTCGAACCTCATCAAAGAGTTTTGACAGTTTTATACTGAATAGCCCTGTTGCTCAGTGTACACCTAACGTTCTGCTTGAGGCAGAGGTGGGCCGGACACTGCAGAAGGGTCAGCATTGCTAACTGGGCATGCCTTAGTATGATCCCCAAAGACCAGTCCAGTAGTGGGATGCTGGGAATGACAAAGGCATGTGAAAGGTGGCCCACTATTACCTCGCCTTTCCGGTAGGACATGCTTTTCTGACAAAAATTCATCCAGCCATCCAGTATTTACTTCTGATGCATAAATCATGTCTATAAAGTTGTAGTATTCTTATGTTGTGTTTTTACATCTACAAGATGTATATTTGCTTTCTTTGTAATCTTTGATATTTCTGCTATTACAGTTTGATTAATCAGTGGATTATACTTTATAATACTTTGTGTATACTTACACACTTTATAACTTTTCTAATAACAGCCAATACGTTGAATATTTGGGGCCGGGTGCTAAGCTGCCTACATATGTTACCTCATTTAACCCTCATGAAAACCCAAAGAATACATACTTCACTGAACCTGTTTTAGAGATGAGAAGGCTAAGGTTGAGAAAGGTTAAAGAACCTTCCCAGAGTCAAGTGCAGGTCTACCTGACTATAAAACCCATATAAGACTACAACACGAGTATAGCTGCTGCTGCTGCTGTTGTACTGATCGTGTTTTATGTTTTGTTTTTTCCAAATTTAGCTGACGGTGTTGCCTTAGGAGCGGCAGCCTCTACTTCCCAGACTAGTGTCCAGTTAATTGTGTTTGTGGCAATCATGCTGCATAAGGTAAGTGGAATCTCAGTGAAAGACCTGATGCTGAATACATTCATAATTAAAATTTCTCTTTGGTCGTTAACATTTTCCTGGAATGGGAAAGTATTTTTAGCAGTTTTCATAATCGCCATTCCTTTGAGAACAGCGGACTAGATTGAAGGCACTCTTTTTATGGTCCTCTACGTAAATTATTAAATTCTGTACAGGTTTCTATATTTTAAAGTAATTTTTGTTCATAAATATTTTTCTTTTTTTATAAGCTTTTCTTGACTGCTTCTCTCTTGCCACTGCCTAAGAACCACACACACGTGCACACATAGGCTATTTTCTTAGCTTTGAACGTTAATTCCTAAAAGGCAGAGCTCAGTCTTGGTACCATGCCTGGTCTTTTTGGTGAGAATTCAGTCAAATGACATGTACTTCATAATGTAGCAGCAATCCATAATTTCAGAGTAATTAGGAATAATCTTTCTTTTCCAGGCACCAGCTGCTTTTGGGCTGGTTTCCTTCTTAATGCATGCGGGCCTAGAACGGAATCGAATCAGAAAACACTTACTGGTGTTTGCCCTGGCCGCGCCTGTTATGGCCATGGTGACATACTTAGGACTAAGTAAGGTACGTCTTTTTCATTCCGAGTTTATCTAGACAAGTATCCAATTCTTTTGTTATTTACCAGAACTGATGGTCTTTTATATTGAGTTTTTCAGTTAAGTTACACCCTCACACTAAAATTGAAATTAGGGTGCCTGGGTGGCTCAGTCGGTTAAGCGTCCGACTTCAGCTCAGGTCATGATCTCACAGTTCGTGAGTTCAACCCCCACATTGGGCTCCTCACTGACCATGCGGAGCCTGCTTGGGACTCTCTCTCCCCCTCTCTTTGCCCCTCCCCCACTCGCTCTCTCTGTCTCAAAAATAAAATGATAAATAAATAAAAATTACGAGTAAAAACCAGTACAAGATAAGCATCTCAATTCCAAGGCTTTCTCTTCATAAATTTAGAGCATTTTCCTGTTCATTTAATTTGAAAATGTCTTCCCCTTCAGTTCCGAAAACATTTGCACATGTATATGATCTTTCAGATAACATAACTTAACTAGACCCACTAATTTTATTTGACAGATGCATGATAAGCCACAATGGTACATGTTTAATGTTTAAGCAGACACGTGAAGAGTGAGGGCCAAGCAGACAGCAGCTTTGAGGAGAACAGGGGATGAGCAGAGAGGTCTAGATTCTCATATCACCCACCACATACTGAATATCCAGTTCTTTATCATTGCGCTGAACGTAACGTCAGACCTAAAGTAAGGTGTCTGTCGCTTGTCAGTTCTGAGCCTGGGTATTCTTCACTGCTGTTCGAGTCGGAACTTTCCCTGTCCACTGGGGCAGCGGGTCTCAACGACCGGTTGTATTTCATGTCAGCTGGCGGGTCACAGGAGGAGAATGTCGCACCAGACTGACTCCGGGCTCATTTGCAGACCTGCTTTCCCCCGTGCTCCCTGAAGGTCACGAATTCTTCCAAGTGTCATTCAGTTCACAGCTGGTACCGCAGAACTTACAGTAGAAGGAACAAATGAGAAACGAGATGGTCAAAACATGGTTAAGTTGCCTTTAGTCAAGTCTGTTGATGTGGATTGCTAAAAGAGGAGGTGTCATAAAAACCCTCCTTGATCATTTGAAGAACCTTTTCTTCTTTCAGTCTGTATATAGTTCCTTTTAAGAATTACCCTGTTTATCACTTCATTGATCATTGATCAGAGTCTTTAGAACTTCAGACAGAAAGGTGTAATTCTGGAAGCATGGGGTTACATATTACATCATGGCATGCTCTTCTCTTAAATTTTTAATTGTCATAGTCCATGGGTCCACTTTTTTAATAGAGAAAGTGTGGAATTAATTGTGTCAAGATTGGCTTATAAGATGCTTCTGGCCTCTGCGAGCAGGTGCTACATGGTGATTGCCACCATGTCTCAAGAACCGACCTAGAGCCTGGTGTGTTGGGGGCGTTTGTTAGCTATTAGTAGAATAAATGAGTGAATGTTCGAAGTTTAATGTCTGCATTAAGAATGCCGTTGATTCCGTTGTAAGAATAATACGTGCCAGACCTGTTCAACCAGACTGGAAGCTTGAAAAAGCAATTGTGTGCATTATCAATAGTCTTAAACCCTTATTTGGAAGCTTCTCATCAATAACAGACTCACTCTGATCTCAAGAAGTCCCCAGTGTCCCATAGCACACCAGTTGTGAATATTCTGTGTTTTTTTTATTGGGATTTCTCCCTGACCCTGAATTTTAATTTTTCTTCTCCTCTCTCTCTCTCTCTCTCTCTCTGTTTCTCTTAATTCACAGAGCAGTAAAGAAGCCCTTTCAGAGGTCAATGCCACTGGAATGGCTATGCTTTTCTCTGCCGGGACATTTCTTTATGTTGCCACCGTACATGTCCTCCCCGAGGTGGGCGGAATGGGGCACAGTCACAAACCCGACTCCACTGGCGGGAGGGGCCTCAGCCGCCTGGAGGTGGCAGCCCTGGTTCTGGGTTGCCTCATCCCACTCATCCTGTCAGTAGGACACCAGCATTAGGCGTCAGGCTCCAGCCTCAGTCCGTGGCCGTCCGCCATCAATGAGAACAGCCAGCGCGCGCGACAGCCGCCCACTTCCTCAGTCTCTTGTCTCACCTTGCCCGTCTCCACCTGTGTTCCCAGAGTCCAGAGGGAGGTGAGATTCAAACCTGGAGTCACAGAAAGCTTTTAGAGGAGAAACAACACACCGAGACTGGATGTGGACGTTCCGTTGTGTCGTTTTTTAAAGGGCCCGTGGCGTGTTGAGTTTTGACGTTTCTCTTAACCCTATTCTCAGGGACGATGGAATTGCATTTGAAGGAAAAGCGGAGAACTGCATACTCACAACGAAATAGTAATTATGAAAGGACAGTGTTCTATAATTAAGCTAAATCTCTTCCTTAGTTTAAAGGCTCTGCCACTTACTGTATCCATTGATTTTTAACATGGTTCTCACCGTGTAGGACTGGTGCTTTAGCGTCTATGCCATATGCCTTGATCAAGGTCATCATGTCCACTTGTCTTAGATGCTAAAGATAATTGTAAGTTATCTGGGGCAAGGGTCAGGAAAATGACAAGATACATTAAAAGCTGACTTTTTACTCGAGAGCCGTCCGTCCGTTGGAAAGCGGGTGTCTGGAGAGACTTAACACCTCCCCTCACATCTGCCTCTTAAAGAGAGCATGCCACTCTGCCGGGCGGGGCCGCAGCGACGGACTAGCATCTGAAGAGGTGACTAGTGTTTCTTTTCAGGTTCTCTTTTGCAGAATGCCTGCCTACCGCCCATTCTTCCAAAGGGGCCAAGTTCCGGTAGGTCCACGCTCTCCCAGCCTTTCCTTCGAGAACAGATCCCAAAGTACCTTTTGAAATTAAGGGGTATTCCTTTGAAGTGAATTTGGATAGTAACTGACCTCTTTGTAGTAATCTTTTTAAAACTAAGATTACCAAAACCTATGTGGTCCCTTTTTGTTTTTGTTTTTCCTTTTTAAGTATTTATCTCAGCAGACCGGCAGTCCCTCGGGCAGAAACACTCGGTGTCCCGTGGGGAGTGCGAGGTCAGCATCACCTAAGCACCTGCAGCAATGAAGAAAGTCACCACATATCACAAGTGGGAAGCGTTTGTCTCTTGACTTAAAGTTTGTTGAAATCATGTCTTGTCTCTTCGTCTTTTCCACGCTTTCCTCCCGACTTTTCCCTCCAGCTCCTCCTCCCCACTCCTGCGCTGCTCACTGCTGATGGCAATGTTAGTGTTTGTGCGAACTGAACCCTCATCAGGACAACCACTTCTTGAACTGTGATGATGAAGATGACATTGTTCTTTATTCCCTTCAATGAAGTTACTTCTGTGTCAAATGCAACTCTGATCAGCCCTTAAAATATCACTTCCTCGTATGTGAGATGACACAATCACTAATATTCTGGGAATTTAAACAATTGAGAAGGTGCAAGTGTTCAGCAAACTAGGATGATTTTTCCATATTTGCCAAAACCCCTGTAAACTTTGTGTTATCAACTACGTGTATGATACTGTGGTATTAATTTATTTTGATTTTCGGTACCATTTCAAAAACACATCATATAGGGGCGCCTGGGTGGCTTAGTCGGTTAAGCGTCCGACTTTCGCTTAGGTCATGATCTTGCGGTTCGTGGGTTCGAGCCCCGCATCGGGTTCTGTGCTGACTGCCAGCTCAGAGCCTGGAGCCTGTTTCAGAGTCTGTCACTCCCTCTCTCTCTGACCCTCCCCTGCTCACGCTGTCTCTCTCTATCCTAGAAATAAATAAAAAAATACTTAAAAAAAAAAAAACACATCATATAAAGAGGGAACCAAGACCGTTTTCTTCAGGGCAGTGGGTTTAGGAGTTCATAAAATGTCTTATATGTCATCTATGCCAGCATGCCTGTAATTTCTTTATTTCCTTCCTAGATTTGTCACTGGGTCAGCAGCTATGGAAATAGACCTTGCGAGCCCTCTGCTGGCTGTAGACCAAAGTAGCATAAATAGGACACGGTTGTGTATAGTGGCGGGCGGCCATTGCATACATGCTTAAAATCAACGGAAGGTACTGCGTGGAGAGTCTGAGTGACTTTCTTGATAGCACCTCTGACTTCTGAAGAGTCCAGGGGCTTCATGTGGTCCTTCAAGATGGTTGCCTTGATTCTCCCTGGAAATTTACTTTGCTAAATAAATAGTACATTGTAGTGTCTGGCTCGGTTTGGATAGCAGCACTTTGTGTTGTACTGTTGCGTGCAGTGAGGAGACATTTGTTCCGCTCGCCAAAGCCTCTTTCAGCAGTGCCTTGTCACGAAAAGTGTGGCTAGAATACCTTGCTGGGCAGGTGGGGCCTTGAACTCTGGCAAGGATTGAACCATCAAACTTCCAAGTTTACCTTCCCCTCTGGACCTCACATTAACAAGCAAACCCTTCCAGGCCCGTCAGCTCTCAGAAGCAACGGGCTTTCCCCAATTTTAAAGCTGCTGCCCCAGGAAGTACCCCTGTGTCTCCTGGTCAGCAGGGGACCGAGCACAGCATGGCAGAGGCCGTCACCAGAGGAAGAACTCGCTCGTGTTGGGCAGGGTCCCAGAACAGGCCATAGCAGTGCCATTCACTGGTGCATTTCTGTCCCATTTTCCTCTTGTTGAAAATTGCCCCCTCCTTAGATGTAGATGCCTTAATGCACACGTTTGGAAACCTTGGCAATACTTAAGTTGCCACCATGATCCCATATGGAATTATTGGCAACCAAAGAGATGCAGCCAGTGGTGAAAGGCATGGTCCCTCCTTCCTCATGACCAAAGTTCATCTTCACTGCAATTTGACTCCCATGTCCTTGGTAGGGATCAGTTTCTTCAGGTTCCAAATGCACTACGAAATGGCAAATTAAATTGAAAAACACTACTGACCCACTCCCCTCCCTTGTTTCCCAGCGAGTCGCCCCTTGGGGCCCCATTCCCCCGAAGCGGTGATGTTCCAGGTCTGGTGGCTTCCCTGCACCACTGTGTAGACAGTTGGAAACAGCACCACCTCCAGAGGCTATGTGTTCTGTCTTCCTCGTTACCTTTTTATTTCCTTGTTCAAAACAGCCGAGTCAGCCGTGTTCCTGTTAACGAATTTTTAGAAAAAGGAGAGAGGTGGTCGTTTTGAGGGGTCAGTTCTTTGTCACGAGGAGACCATGGAATTTTGTTTCTTACCAGCCTGCTTCTAAGTGTCACTTCCTGGTGTTTCTCTTTTTCGAGGATTAGACCTAGGAGGACACCCCAGCATCGGAGCAGATTATGCCCCTCAGACACGTGGTAGCCGGGTACTCCACACGGGAGCTGTCTGCCAACAGCACAAGCCCCCACAGAATGTTCTTGCCTCCAGGGCTCCCAGACCCCTTGGGAGATTGACAGTAATGGCCAGATTCTTCTAAAACCACCGCAGTGCAAAGTGATCTGCAGGGGAGCCGTCTCCTTGCGTTAGATTTCTGCCCAAAACAATGATCCCAAGAGCACTGTTAGGAGATGCTATGAACTTAAAGCCAACGATGTAGCCCTCTTTGTAGCTGAGACATCCAGATCGATCACCTCAGGGGACTTGAGGGGACTTTGTGACGTATAGGAAAGGAGACACCCATGGGGAGTTCTCTAGATAGGCTCAGCCTAAACACAAGGAACTTGGCTTTGATCTTTTTTCTGATAGCACCTTCTAGCAAGTTGAGGGTCTCCTGGGTTACAGCTGCAGTCCCCTTGGTTCAGTGGCCTGAACAGTGATTTTCAGTGTCCCCTTTTCTGGATCCTTTGTAAACATGAAATCATTCCATGGATGGCTGCCTTATAATGTTGTCTCTTTCCACGTCAATTGTGAATGGTTAAAAAAAAAATTTTTTTTTGCTGTTTTCTGATTTGTTTTATGATATTAAATTTTTATTAGTGCATCTCTATGTGAGTGGCTCATTACTTCCTCTCCTGGCAGCTTGCTTCTCTATTTGATGACTAGACTTGACCCACTTCTGAACGTCAGAAAAGGTGAGGAAAATCTTTGAAGAGGCACAGAAAGATGTGCCAACCATATGCATATCCTTTAGGGAAGGAGGAGGGGAGACAGAGGACTCAGTACACCAAGTGCCCCCAAAAGATACTAATTCATTGACTTTTATTTTGCTTTGCCATGGTTTTTAGTGAACATTACTTAGGAAGGTAGCTGTCTATTCTCAGAAAAGAGAAGGCCCAGATCCCAATCACGGTGGGTTCATTTCAAAAGGCAGAGCTGCTCTGTGAGGATACAGAGGCTGAGAGCAACCAGCCCTGGAAGCAGAGATTTTAACAGAAGTGCAGTTTGTAGGGGCGCCTGGGTGGCTCAGTCGGTTAAGCGTCAGATTTCGGCTCAGCTCGTGATCTTGCAGTTCGTGAGTTTGAGCCCCACGTTGGGCTCTGTGCTGACAGCCCGGAGCCTGGAGGCTGGTTTAGATTCTGTGTCTCCCTCTCTCTCTGCCCCTTCCCTGCTCACATTCTGTCTCTCTCAGAAATAAACTTTTTAAAAAAATTTTAAAGTGCAATTTGTAAATTTGTTTCTAATTCTTAACAAGCTAGGGTAGTGTCCTACAGTGCGGTTTTTATAATATCAGAAATAAGCAACCTTGTGTCCAATCCCTAGGTCTAAAATGCCCTTTCCCGCTTGTTGGGATGAGCACTGGATGTTATATGGAAACTAACTTGACAAACTATACTTTAAAAAAATAATAAAATGCCCTTTCCCCGAGCTCCCTCACCTCCTTGCAGTCTGGATCCTAAAGTCTCCTTCAATTAGGCCTCCTGTGACCACCCTGTTTAAAACATCTATGCCCACCCTGTCCCAGTGCTTTCTACCCTATTCTATTATTTCTTTTTCCATAGCACTGGTCACCTCTTAATCTGCCTTATAATGTATATCCTTACTGTGTCCTTCTTCCCTGCCAAAATATAAGCTCCAGGAAGCCAGGTTCACAATAAATCTGTGTTGTTACATGAATTGGTGTGCCGAAGAGGCACTTTCTAATCTGTGGTGCCCCCCCCCCACTTTCCTGGCACCAGCTGTCCCCCTAATCAGTGTCAGAACCAGCTGCTTGCCTTACTTGCAGCCCTGCCCTTGCTTGGGAGCAAAGAGGTGAGGAGCCCGTGCGTGGGACTGCGTGTACAGGTGGGAAGTTAACTGGGTTCGGGCTCCAAATCCATGGCAGGCTAATGTTAGTAGGTACCGTCTCACTGACTGAGGGACCTGAACATCTGGATCCCACTTCTGGCTCAGCTACTGATTTCTGTTGCAGTGTTAGCCATTGCTTGCCCAGTTTGTAAATTTGGGTCGGAGCGTCAGGGAAAACATGTGTCCCATTCTGACTGCCTTATTTATAGAGGGATCCAGACAAATCAAGAGCCATCAGAGGAGGAAGCCAGGGCGTTTGAGAAGGTAGGTGTAGAAGGAACTGGAGGTTTGCCTTCGTCTGGAATGTTCCTAGGGACAGAACTTGATACCCACCATCAGACTTAAAGGGCTGTCAAGTGTAGGAGGGCGTAGATCCCTATTCTCCAGAAGGTGGAACAGGACATAGCTGAGCCCTACCTCTTCATTCAGCAGCGGTCAGTGAGCCCTTC